GATCGCCTCTACTGTGTTACTAGTACTCACGTTCGTGTAGTCCTCGTTTCCCTGACAAAGTAAGGTACAGTCCTCGTACGCAAGCAGCTGCTAACAACGCGGGTGCGTCCAGCATTCCTGGCCCGGCGCAAAGCACAATCACCTTGGAAGGCTCGGAAGTGCTTAACTGGACAGCCCTCCCTCCTCAATTCGGTAAAGGTAAACCTCCCTGGACTGCCTTACTCGTTGACTACGCCCTCACCGTGACATCATACAGGCACAATTGGAATGGGATCATCTCGTACGCCGGCGGACTCTCCATCGTGTCGCTGCCGATAAAGTGCCGTCCAGCCTCGGTGTCGCGGAACGGATCTGTACGGGTTTGAGGAGCGGTTTGAGCTCTACGTACAAAGGGCGCGGGAGATCCTGGACCATCTGGACTGAAGAGCTCGATAGAGATCTCTTTATATGCGTTACTGTTCTGGTCATGCTTCTGCTCAACTATCTACTAGTAATGCGAGGACATTACAAGATGATACATGTCAAGTTGCCTCTACCGTAGAATAAGTTGTTAATGGAAGTCATGCCTCCGATGAAACCTCTGTGTGCGTAAGAATTCGATCCGGGTCATGTCGAACATTTCTTTGACGGTAGGCAGTCTCAGGGCCCGTCTTCGAGCCAGGCAAGGCGTGCTGAACGTTTACGCTCGATTCACAAGCATGCTTTAGAAGACGCTTACCGGCCTGTAAGGCTGCTACGGAGACCAGCTTTACCGGCCTTTCGCCGTCTCTTTCCTCCGCTAATGCACACGGACACGAGCGAAGATTTAGCACCATATACCGGGATAATTGATGTCGTCGATTATGCAGTCCGGAGAGCCCACAACTGGTACAGGCGTTCACCGTATACGGACTATCACGGCCAGATACTGAACACATTTACCTATTCTATTGATCCAGATGCTGCGATAAGTACTAATATTCAAGCAGTCACTATGAAGCGTTGACTAGCAGATAGAAAAAACACGTACGACTCAAGTACGACTAAGGATACTTGCGGCTGAACACGGATCTCAGCCATCTCAGGCCATGCTGAAGAGTCCAGACTGGACGCGACCTCCTTCCTCGTCCGACAGAGTCTCCACATCCACCTCCGACTGCTCTTCGCGCCCAGCAACCTGAAACCACTGGTACGGCTCCCGCTCCTGCCGATCCCATTGATCGTAATACTCTTCAGCCTCAGCCTGCCGGCGCAAGCCAATATATTCCAATGTAGGAACACAGGTGCCAATGACACGAGCATATTGTTTCCAGTGGGAGGTCTCGCACCACGGTATGTGCCCCCAGAGTACGATAGCAACCCCTTGGAGGGGCAGAGCTCGGAGAAGCGAGAACTCTTCGGTCTGCTCACCCTTCAAGGTCACCGAATGTGATACTTAGATAAAGTCCCAATACTCACTAAAAAGGTCCCGGCGTCCTCCCAGGTCAAGCTCCTGTCATTTTCGCGATGGCTCCAACGCCAACTAGGTGTGATTCTCATGCAGCGAATCGAGGGCGCGTGACGAGCTATGATCGCATACGTGTTCGGATCAGCCTTGCATCCCAATACGACAGGCATGGTGCGTTGCAACATATTGATAGTAGGTCTTTCCAGGTGTCGGTTGGACCTACCAACGAGCATACCGGACATGCTTGGCTTTTTTCGAAAATCCCAACGCATGTCCAAGTGTCGAACCGGATGCTGCAGAGGGAGAGGACGCCCCGAGGAGACAAAGTCTAGTTGTCGCCATTGACTGATGTGAGGCACAGCAGGGGAAAATTTGGAAGAAATGTCCAGACGGCGCAGGTTTGGGAATGCTCGGGCCAAGGCTTGTAAGTTTACTGAATCATTACGAACGAGTTTGAGTTCACGAACAGCACGCCAAACCATTGGTGGTTCGAGCTCCTGTATGATGTTCAAGCCTCCATGGAGACTCAGAACCTCCAGGGATTCAGTGAAGTTGCTTAGAAAGCGGTCATCCCCGAAGGCATGATCGCCCCACCACCTCTCATCCGTCTCTCGATCGTTATATTCGACGACGCGGAGTTCCGCTTTCCTGGGGCGACTCTGCATCCTGGACAGAAGACCGAGTGTCAACACATCGGCGTCCCAGAAACGGACCTCCTGGAGACGCGGGAGGCTTGCTATGGCATCTATGAGCTGCGGCACGTCGTCAAAGATCTCTTCTGCGTAATGAATGGAGATTTTGCGTAGTTCCACTGCACCCCGGATGACATCCGCGAGCGGTGCTGCAAGAGTGAGGGTGTACGTTGGCGGTTCGGTGGCTGAGCCTCGTTTGCCCCGTTCAACGCAAAAAGCATCATCCCCGAGGGTAAGAGCCTTGAGCTTTCGGAGGCGATCGGACGCATACGGTGAGTCGAGCATGTAAGCGCGGAAGCCCTCGAAGAGCTCAGGATAAGCCAATGACGAGCGTTTTGCGCCCGGTAAACGTAGCCAGGGAAGCGGGAATTCGATTTCTTCTAAGAAACGGGGTATCGCTAGATTGTGGCCGTCGCGACAGGTCATGGAGAATTGGAGGGCCTCATATGGGTTTGCGAATGACAGAACGATATCGAGGACGTCCCAGTTCAACATGGAGGACCTCCCCGTGGTCATCGCAGTCAAGTGGTCTATTCATGTGTGAGCACGGTCAATCAGTCCATTCGCCATAGGCCCTCAAGCCCAGCTCACCTGTCCGCAAGGACTACACAATGCAGACGAAGTAGCGGAGAGATGCAACGTTTGCAAGTCAGTATAGATGGTCGTGACGGTGGGAGAAAGAGAATGGCCATCTGCTGCCAATCTGCTGCAGTGACGATTCGACTTCAGATAATAATGAAACTCAGGTAAGTAAGTTAGTACTTACTATATCGGGTCACGATCTCGGACAGCCTAGGTAGTCGGTCACTCGAGTCTCATTCAGCAACCACCCCTTCTATAGCTATGAAATAAATTGTCGCATGTCTCAATGCATCCTTGTAATGCCTGTACAAAATCTGAAGCCAATACACTGAGATCTGTGTGCAGGAAAAATCACCCTTTGCGATGATACCTATTTCTGGTAAGCAGTGTGGCTCACCCTACTCTCGACCAGAATTTTAGCTACTGAGCTCGACTCAATGATTGTATATTTTTTCTCATATTTTCTCATATTCCTGAGGTCTTTTAACATACCTTCTCAGAATAATACAGGTCATTATGGCCCATACAGAGTGAGGAGGGCTTGTCGAATGCTAAGGTGGCCGAGATCGTGACCCGATATAGTACTTACAGTAAGTTCTTAGAGACGCCGACGGCCCGACGCCACAATGACGCTCCTCTACTACAACTGCCGCGCCGCGAGGGGATCTAATATTTGCGCCCTCACCACCTGTCGGGTCACATAGGCCACAGATGGTCGAAGATGATCTTCTCAAAATGCCAGGCAGCTTTGATGTCGGCAACAACGCGCTGAACGTGGAGCACAAGCTGCAGTGGTCGCTCACTGACCTCGAGCGCACCGGTGGCCTCACAGGGTGGGTCGCAAAGTTGTTGCTGTCCGCTGGCGATTGGATCGACAACGAACTTGAAGAGCGACGGCAATCAATTGGAGGGATAGACAACTTGTGGTTCCTCTTGACCGAGGCTGCCGACTTCAACCCGGTGAGTGCACCGTCTACGTCAGGTCGTGCTTAGTTCTAACACAGAACAGGTGTGCGCGTCGACGTACATTCTGAAGGGGAAGTTGACGTTAGAGGAGTTATACAAGGTGCGTTTGTTCCTTCTTGATCATCCGAAAGTGACTTTCCCGACTGCATCACACAGGCAGCACACCGCCAGTCAGAGAAGTTCCCTAAATACAAGCAACGGGCAACCTCTGTGTGCAGGCGGTTCCACGGCGCCCGCTTCGAAGAGGACCCTGACTTTGATCTCAAGAATCATATACATGCTGTCGCTCTTCCAGAACCAGCGGGGCAACACGAATTGAACGACTTGGTCCGTGAGTTCTACTCCACTGGCTGAGTGTCTCCGTGTCAAACTGTTGTATCAGATGGGCAAGTTCATCGCTCAAGATTGGGACCTGAAACGTCCGCTGTGGGAGATGGTGCTGGTGGAGAACTACCGGGACGAGACCGGCGCTGAGAGTGCGTTGCTCACGAGAGGGTGTGTCTGTTCCTCATCTCAGCCACTTAAAGTTTTCCGACGCGTAATAGCCACCACGCCCTCGCAGATGGTCAGGGATTTGTTATTAGCCAGCTCTACATCACGTCGTATCACGACGAGCTCGTCCAAAAGATGCACTCGACGGCGGACTACCTCCACGCAGCGAAGAGAGGAAAGGTGCTACCTTCTAAGCTTCACCGCTCTCTTCGACCGCTCGACTCGCTGGCGACGAATCCGTATACCGCACCGCTGCTCGAACTCGTCATGGCATGCGCGTTCTGGTATGTCTACGCCGTCTCGACGTTCATCGGTCTCTTCTGGAGCGTCTACCAAGCTGTCCATCAAACCGCCCTCTTCCTTCTCACCTGCTGGCGCGTCGACATGCTCACGGGGCCGCAGCCAGGCCAGCGCGTGGCCGAGCGGGAGTTTGCCAGCTCGCGCGTGTTCAGCATAAAGGATGTCAAGCTCTGCCAGCAGGCGTTTTCTGGCGCGAAGCCTGGTAGCGCGGTCGCTGGCGTTCCGAAGGAGCAGCGGGAGAAGGTGCGCGCGAAAGCGGGGCACGTCACGCTGAACGATGTCGTATGCGCGGTGATGGCGGACGTGCTCGGGAAGGAAATCGCGTCCAGACCTGCGGACCAGCTGAACGGCCCCTGGGAGCGGATGAAGCGGAAGTTGAGGACGGTGCTGCCTTCGCCTATCGGGTTCTTTATGTGAGAAGCAAGATTACTCTCGCGCTGACTGCTGATTGTGACGAGATTGCAGACCGATGAGCACGCGCGCTCCCGGCGACTGGTCGATGCGGAATCTCTCGACGGGGTCCATCGTGTACTTGAACCCGTCGACGAATGTATCCGACGACGTCACAGTGCACGAGCTTCACGCGCACATCCACCAGTGCCGCGGAGAGCTCTCAATCCTTAAACACAGCCTCCTGCCGGCGTTGTGCTTCCATATCCTGCAGTTGACCGGACAGGTTCCTGCGCTGTTGGATCTCTCCCTGCTGGCGAATCCGACCAAGGACCTCAAAGAGCTATTCAACAAATGGCTGATGAGGCCGATATATAACATGGTATTGCAATCATGTAAGCCCCGCATAGCCTCCGCCCGACGACCTGTACTCACGTCCGTACAGTCCCCGTTGTTCTGACAAAGTAAGACGCGGAACCTCGTAGCACAGACTAGCTGCTAACTACACACTTCCATCCAGTGTTCCCGGCCCTGCAAACAGCACGATCACCTTGCAAGGCACGGAGGTGCTCAAGTGGACAGCACTACCTCCTCAAGGCGGTAAAGGTGAGCCTTTTGACTGCCTTGCTCGTTGACCACGCTCTCATCGTTACATCGTACAGGCACAATTGGGATGGGGATCATCTCGTATGCCGGCGGACTCTCCATAGCCGTTGCTGCCGATCAAGTATCGTTGAGCCTTGGAGTCGCGGAACGGATATGCGCGGGATTCGAGGAGCGATTTGAGCTCTACGTCAAAAGGGCGCGGGAGGTCGTGGACCATCTGGACTAAAACAGAGATACCTTGAGGCGCGTTCCAAATCCGTTACTAGCATTAGTTTTATTGTTCGATTGCGAGGACGTTATAGGATGATACACGTACACCTGCCTTTCCCAATACTGTAGGATTTGTTAATGCACTCCCACGACACCTCGCTGAGCGCGGGCGTTCGATCCGGGCGTTGTGGCTAGGGACGGGCAAGAGCTGGCAAAGCGTGGTGAACGTTGGCGTGTGCCAGTGGCATGAAGCTTGTCTCAGCGGTCTCTCGCTCTCTTGTCTCCTCTACTTAATTAACGCATGGCACGAACAGTAACAAAGGTCGATCTTGTATCCCAGGATGGTTCAAGTTGACGTCAACGAGCAACATCCTGATGTCTCGTCCCGCGCGAGCAACAGCGCGTCGGCGCCTGCACACAGTGATCTCCTCTTGTCATCGCTGCAACGATTGGTTTTGTACTTCTGGGGATATCCTACTTACTTACCACCTGTGAGGAGTCTCGTAGCGATATGATCTTGGGCGCGTAAACAAATGTGGCTGCCACTGGCTGGGTGCAGACACCGTCGCGGCTTGACCACGCCCACCGCTCGGTCAGCTTTGATACGTCTGCCGCGACTACGAGTCAAGACAGAAATGAGGTTGGCACAATTCTTGCCAGTCTTCAAGCACGGCTCTTGTACCTCCGTATACCCTCAACATCCCGCCGGCCCTCACTCTGTCCAACGCTGAGCTCAGCAGACGAACCACCTGCTGCTACATCATGTCGCAACCGAAACTCTCGTTCAAAAGGCTGTTTGATAATTGGCAAGCCGATGTCAAGGCTGCTATCCTCGAGTTCTTGGGGACGACTTTCTTCTTGCTCTTGGCATTTGGGGGGATACAGGCAGCGGAGGCAGAACTGGCTATGGACCCCTCCGCACCCTCCGCGATTCTGCACGACCTATACATCGCGCTATCCATGGGGTTCAGTCTACTCATCTCTGTCTGGATCTTCTACCGGGCTAGCGGCGGCGTTTTCAATCCTAACATCAGCCTGGCTCTCTTCTTGAACGGAGTCATCGGCCCCTTGCGCTTCGTTCTCTACTGTTTTGCTCAGCTCACTGGGGGTATCGCGGCTGCGGCTATCGTTCTTGCGCTCACACCGGGTCCGCTGTTGTCGAAGTGAGTGTTAATTGTAGCTTGTGACCCGTCCCTAATGAAGTGTTCAGCACTGTGTTGGCAAATGGCGTCAATCTTGCCCAGGGCGTGTTCATAGAGATGTTCATCACTGCGGCACTGGTATTGTCCGTACTTATGTTGGCGGTAGAGAAGCATGTTGCTACGCCTTTTGCTCCAGTGAGATTTTACAAACGACAAGAGTTATGCTGACAATTGACTAGCCTCTCATTTCTCAAGGTCGGGATTGGCCTCACTGGCTTCGTCTGCCATCTGTCAGTAGGATTCACTGTGTGCATGTTTCTGCCCTGATGTGCGCCTCGTCTTTAGCTGGGGCGTGTACTACACATGCGCGGGTATGAACATTGCGCGGGCGTTCGGACCAGCCGTCGTCACGGGATTCCCATATAGCGGTCATTGGGTGGTGAGTGTATACTAGACCCACGCGGATTTGCCACGGGTGGCTAACTACGATGCAAGTACTGGGTTGGCGACGGCCTCGGATCGCTCCTTGCAACAGCTCTTTACATGCTCTTCAAACAGTGAGTCCGCTTACCTCAGCTTGGTGTCATAGCTGCGCTTGGCTGATGGCGCGTGCACAGGCACAAGTACTGGCTCCTGAATCCTGGGCAAGACATGGTGTGCACGATCCCGGAACAGTACTATGCTTCACAGAACAGCTCAAACACGATGGGACATACGGCGGTTGTGTACATGAAGGACAACTTCTCTGCCGAATATCCTGGTTCGAACAGACATTACCATCATGATCTCACTCTTGCGAATGGCTCCGGGAACGCTACAGCAAGTGCACTACGTGTCCGCCGCTGCGCATCGGACCTTGTATGAAACGTTGCTCTAGGGTTGCACAACGTCTGTCGATCTCTTGTGCCTTGCTTCCTTGTTTTTGTATGATCCGTTCATTTGTCAATCCCTTGACTTTCCTTCAGCAGTGCGTATGATTCTCGGTCTCACACGTCTGCGAGGAATCTTAGTGCTTCTCTGAGCCATCAGTATGTACCGCTCAACGTGCGTCGAGTCCGACTAACGGCGTCAGAGTTTGATTTGATAAGCGTCCACTCTGCCAGTCTGGGCGTTGTCGCCGACAGCTATGCAACTACAGTCTGTCAATCCGCAGATCGCAGAGAACTGCGCCGCGTCGTGCGACCGCGTCGAATTGTTGCGTGCGCGAGGTCGCCACTTACTAGGACATCGTATGTCGCATCGGAGTCGATCTGACCTCCGAGCGCAGTGGCTTCAAGTATGGCCACACATCACTCCGACCTGGGGCGTCCGCGGGGCGGTCCACAGGGTCATGAGGAAAGCTGGACGGTGGTATGCTTGGGAAGTCCTTTGACCTGATACTAATCGCATTCTCCTTCAACATAAATATGAGTTGTGCGAGGTCAGGTTTCTACACTCCCTTCCCTCGCTGTACGATCCCACAAGTCCCAAGATGGTCGAAGACCGTTGTCTCAGGATTCCTGGCAGTTTTGGTGTCGGCACTAATGGTCGTGCTTTGAATGTAGAGCACAAGGCGCAGTGGTCTCTCCTTGGCCTCCGGCGTGACTCCGATGGCTTCACAGGACGGGTAATGAAGACAATACTTCTGGGTGTCAACTGGTTCTGCAGAGACTTTCAAGAGCGACGGCAATCGATTGGCGGGATGGACAACCTGTGGTTCCTCTTGGCTGACGTTACCGACTTCAACCCTGTAAGCGCATCGTTCTAGTCTATCGCGTCGTGTCTACTCATTGCGCATGATAGGTGTGCACTTCGGCATACACCCTGAAGGGAAGGTTGACGTTGGAGGACTTATACTCAGTGCGTCCGCTCGTTTATACAAAACTGCTTTCCCTGATGCATCATACAGGCAGCGCAACGCCAGTCCGAGAAGTTCCCGAAGTACAAGCAACGGGTAACGTCTGTACTCAGAAGATTTCACGGCGCCCGCTTTGAAGAGGACCCAGATTTCAACCTCAAGAATCACATTCACGCCGTCAGTCTCCCGGAACCGGCCGGGAAACACGAATTGAATGATTTGGTTCGTGGGTTCTGCTCCATTGTCTGTGTTTCTTCTTGCTAGTGATGCTGAGATGCTGTATCAGATGGGCAAGGTCATTGCTCAAGAGTGGGACCTGAAGCACCCGCTGTGGGAGGCCATACTTGTTGAGAACTACAGGGACGAGACCGACGCTGAGAGTGCATTGATCATGAGAGGGTGTGTCCATTCCCTGTTTTTCTCAGCAGCCGTCCCAACACTCCGTAGTCACCACGCCCTCGCAGATGGTCAAGGATTCGGTTTCAGCCAGCTCCACATCACTTCGTATCACGACGAGTTGGTACACAAGATGGACTCGGCGGCGGACTACCTCCATGCGGTGAAGCGAGGAAAGGTACTACCTTCCAAGCTCCACCGCTCTCTCCGACCGCTCGACTTGCTGGCGACGAATACATGGACCGCACCACTGCTCGAACTCATCATGGCCTGTGCGTTCTGGTTTGTATACGCTGTCTCGACGTTCGTCGGCCTCTTCTGGAGTGTCTACCAAGCCGCGCACCAGATTGCTCTCTCCCCCTTTAGGGCCTGCTCAGGCTGGCGCGTCGGCATGCTTACCGTGCCCCAGCCGGGCCCGCGCGTGACGGAGCGGGAGTTTGCCAGCTCGCGCGTGTTCAGCATCAAGGACGTCAAGCTTTGCCAGCAGGCGTTCTCTGGCGCGAAGCCCGGTAGCGCAGTCGCTGGCGTTCCGAAGGAACAGCGCGAGAAGGCACGCACGAAGACGGGGCACGTCACGCTGAACGACGTCGTATGCGCGGTGATGGCGGACGTGCTCGGGAAGGAGATCGCGTCCAGGCCTGCGAACCAGCTGAACGGCCTTTGGGAGCAGAAAAAGCGCAGGCTGAGGACGGTACCCCCGTCGCCTAGGATTGGATTCTTCATGTAAGCAGCCAGTCGGATTGACCTCGCGCTGGGTGCTCATTTTGATCGGGGCTATAGACCGATGAGCATACGCACTCCTGGCGACTGGTCGATGAGGAACCTATCGACGGGGTCCAAGGTGGACTTGAACCCGTCGCCAAACCTCTCTAAGGATGTCACAATACGCGAGCTTCACGCACACATCCATCAGTGCCGTAGAGAGCTTTCTATCCTGAAACGCAGCCTGCTTCCGAGGATGTGTTTCAATATCCTGCAGTTGACGGGTCAGTTTCCTGCACTGCTCAACCTATCCCTGCTGGCGGAACCGATTCCGAAACTCAAGGAGCTGTGTAACAAATGGCTGATGAAGCCGATATATGATACGTTGTTGCAATCATGTAAGCCCTGTGTAGCCTCCGCTCGACGACCTTTACTCACGTCTGTACAGTCCCTGTTGTTCTGACGAAGTAAGATGCGGAAACTCATCTCAGAGGGGCTGCTAACAACGCGGATGCATTCAGCGTTCCTGGCCCCGCAAACAGCACGATCACCTTGCAAGGCAAGGAAGTGCTCAAATGGACCGTGCTCCCTCCTCAAGGCGGTAAAGGTGAGTCTATCCAGACTGCTTTGCTCGTAATGTGCATTGACCACGCTTTCGCCGTGGCGTCGTACAGGCACAATCGGAATGGGTATCATCTCGTATGCTGGCGGGATCTCCATCGCCGTCGCTGCCGATAAAGTGCCGTCGAGCCTCGGTGTCGCGGAACGGATATGCACAGGTTTTGAGGAGCGGTTTGAGCTCTACGTAAAAAGGGCGCGGGAGGTCTTGGATCATGTGGACTAAAGCAGCAATACGTTCCGAATCCGTTCTTGCATCAGTTTGAATGCCCGATTGTGAGGACTTTACAACATGATATACATGGACTTGCCGTTATTGATAACTTGCTGTAGGATTTGTTCATAGACCTCATAATACAGTACGACGTCTCCCCGGCAAGGTGTTGAACGCTGGCGGACCCTTTGAGACCCTCCGACTTAAACATAGATTATCACACTGTCATGGTCCAGCGCTCAGCAAGTACCTGGTACTGTTCAGACAAGTGGTATGCATAGATTGTGGGCGGGTTAGTATGTCGCCCTCTCTAGATATCGATACACTTCGTACAAGTACAGCATAAACTCACAGCCACCGGATCGCTCAGAAAGCTTCAGTCGGGATCTAGTCACACATCTATACAACATAGCCGAGGAAACGTGGAAGTAGTACATAAGTTAAATCAAACGATCTCAGACGACCTCGAGCACCCTGAGAAGGAGGTGCTGCTGTGATTCTGCGTGGAGGTTGAGAAATAAGATACTTGATGTGGAAGGGTAAGTCAAGTAAAGACGTACTGATGTACGCGTTCCGTTCGCCCCAAGTCGTCATGGCAAAGCGTATCTGCGCAAGGGCGATGGAGATATTCTGTTCGTTCGCGGTTGCGGGCATCGACGTCGCGGGGTCTGTCCTGAGAAGCCTCAGCCCGCCAACAAGAACATCCGCCACGGAGAGCAGTAGGAACTAGACATGCATATGTAAGACAGGCGGTTGCAAGGATGCGAGGATGCCGCTTACCCCGATGGACGAGTCGATGAACGTGAGCGCGCGAACGTTGATCTGACTGAGTGCGTTTGCAGCGGCGCACGCGGCTGCGAAGGTCTGGCTATCCAACGCTATCCCGTTGCCTCGCAGGTCGAGCGGCTTGTGCAGCTGTATGGTCGCGCAATTGACCAGCATGTGGACGAGGAGCAGTCTGCTGAGCAGATCTTGTCTGGTAGGATGAATCGCGTTGAGGGTCTGTAGCCCTGCCTGGAACCGCATGATGCGGTCGTCGAGGTCAGTCGAACCCAATACATAAGCGGCCACATCTGAGAGTGTCAAATGATCAGTGTCTCGCGGGTGACCGGACAAATTGTTCTGCTCACCGTTTGTGAACTGAGCCGAGACCTGAGTGGCAGAGCAGTAGATCGCAGCCGCTTTGGCGTGCAGTTTCAGAGGGTCTTGTTCAACGGCGACCGCATGTGAGCCGAACTGAGTCTGAGACTGCTGCGTAGCTACGATTAATCGTCAATGCTGCAGCACTCCCACGTCGACACTCACGTTGAACAGTGCTTCTGCATCCGCCGGCCCCATTTCGAGACCGTTGTTTGGAAGAATAGGCGTGCGGCCCATTATCGGCGACCAACACTTGTCGAGCACTAGCATCGCCCAAAACGCATTGACCCGCTCGTCCTGTTCGATTTGATCCACAGGCGGAGGAGGTTGGTACCTCGAAAGTTGCGCGTCTGCTGGCAGAGTCTGGCGCCCGCCTCCGAGCTCGTGCATGCCACTTGCCAGCACCATGGCAGAGGCGGCATCCATGTGATAGACGCCTTCTAAGGGGCGGTTGCAGGAAAAGAGGTAGTTCGCGAGCAGAATCTCCGTCTGCAACACGTCCAGGATGGCGGGTGGGCTCAGATCTCCCAGCGTTGCCGAGAGGTCTTCCAGTGCGGAGGCGAGGAAATCCGCCTGGAGGCTTTGGAGGCGACCATCAACCGACACGTACGCCCCAACCAGACAAACCGCGTTCAGCAACGCACGCGCGTGCCTCGGTAAGTTGATCATTGGTTGCGCAAAGATCCTTTGGAAGAAGCGAGGAACGTGAAAGAAGAAACCGGTCTGGGATGCCGCTCCTGAGAAGCAGTGCACGCTATATCATCGTCAGAGCCAAAATAAAGTGCGAGACACAGTGATGGGATCAACTTACAGGGCATGTAAGGTTTCCACTGGAACTTCTTGACGGTTTCTGCTGCGTACAGACCGTCCTTGTTGCCGTTTGTGAAAAAGTGCGTACGGGTCGTGTAGGAGGACAGGACCTGACGTGTTGCCTTCGAGCTGAGCGATCCGCGACTTGAGTTGACTGATTTTGTCCTCGAGAAGCTGCGCCCCGTGAAACTTGGACTCTCCGCCGTAGATGCAGTCGTCGTGTACACCGGCCTTCTCGCACTGGTAGCACGTCGGACGGACCCCATCGCACCTCTGCAAAGTGGTCACGACACGTGAGATGGTCTGATAGGTGATGATGGTGGATACTCACGATCTTCTTACGCCTGTGAAGAGTATCAGCTGTGTGCCACAGCGTTTGAAACAGAACATGTTACTCACCTGCACCGTAGACACGCTCGAATGTGAGAAGACATGGACTTTGTTCAGTAGATCGGTGTTCACCTGCCGACCACAGATGTTGCATCCTGGCTCGTACATATACCTTCATGCTGGAGTTATGGCTATGCGATGGAATGCAACCGGCCATGCCACTCCTAGGCGTGGACGCGCGACGCACGGTGTTGACTACCTCTACATTCGTAAAGCAACGAAGTAGGTTGTCGCAGAACATAGCTGAGGAGTAAACGTCTTTTGTCGTCACCGACCGATCATCGAGGACATGAACTTTGGCGTCGTCGGTGGTCCACCGTTTCCGTGACAGAGGCGGAGTGGCCGAGGAAGTGTACCTGTCTAAATTAGGTATGGCCGCCATTGGGAGTTTACGAACGCCCGTTCCTGTGAAGTCCTCTTGACAGATTGCATCACAAGCCTCAGCTACACCGGAGCGCTGGACGCGCGCTACTAGAGGCTCCGGCTCGTATGGCTGATAACAGCATGATTCCCTGGAGAAGACATCGGCCGATGAGTAGTTACACACTACATCGCGGACAGGTCTGACTGGGACCACTTACTTCGTCGCACTGGAGTGTACTAAGACTGTACTTACTCCGGATGTGGACTTCAATATCCCTCGTCGCAGCCGCGTGTTTCCGCATAGTACTCAGATCCGAAAGTCGAGAGCAGAGCGGGTTCAGATCAATTAAGAGATCTTGAGTGGTAGACATCATCAGCTCGTAACTTAACATCGCGACTCGGACGCTACCGTGACAGCAGGAGGCTGATATAGATTCCAAAAATGGGAATTACCGATGATATTCCCACGGCTACTAAGAGTTGCGTATTAGTAAAGGTCAATGAATCACCTTCAATCATTACATGCAAAGTCGACTTTCTCTTCGATGTCGCTCGATGCTCACCCTGAGTAATGCGTCCTCCGTCCCCTACTCATCCATCGGACGGGACTGACAAGTTCATTTTACTGTACGCTGGATGCGATGGCATCGAGAGAATAGTAGCCTCGGGCAGTCGGGCTCGGGTAGTCGGTGTGAGCCGCCGAGGCTACTTAGTCTCCCCCAGGCAGACCCTAAAAAAACCTCTTTGAGTGGGGGAGAGGACGGTCATCTAAGGCGCCGAGGCCATGGTGGGACCGGCACCCCTTGGGCACCCCCATCACGTTTCTGCCAACTGCCCTAGTAGGTTCGACACAAACCCCGCATCGCCACGTGTGGAGGGTCTTGAGCGAGATTACCAACTGCCCAGTAAGTACGTAGCATCTGCACTGCTACTCCAAAAAAAAAGATGACGCTGGCTCAACGCTGGGCATGCATTGCATACTGAGCACAGTAACTACAAAGGTGAACGAGTCTAGTACGTGATGTATTCGGAATTCATAATATACGATAGTGACTGATCTAGCAGCAGACTGACGGCGTACAAAACATGTAAGTTAAGTGATACGATGCAGAGATTGGAAAGCAGGGTCAGCGATGTGTACATAGGATGATTATATCAGAACACGACAGCGTCATTATTAAGATCACCCAGTGAGCTATACGGTAAAGAATAAAACAAGTGACAATCTCGGAAAGTAGGGTTTTGGGGATTATATTCCTTGCGTCGCGTCGGCGAGCGCAGTCTGCTGGGACCCTGTATGGTGCGTGACTATGTCAGGTTTTGCCAAAAGAACACAAGAAGGACACGCACGGATGTATGCGTTCCGCTCGCCCCACGTCTCAAGCGCGTACCGTATGTGGGCCAGGGCCACCAGCAGTCGATTCTCTTCGCTAGATCCGACAGCAGCCGCATCCTGCCTAAGCGATATGAGCGCGCGCACGAGGACCCGTGCAACAGACACAAGCAAGAACTGCACAACGACGTAAGTAAGCACGGCCGGTATCTACGAGAGTTGATCGACTTACGCCAACGATCGGATCGACGTGCGCTATCCCCCCAATATTGATGCGGCTCAGCACGTCCACGGCAGCGAGAGCGGCAGTGAGGCTCCTAGAGTTCGGCACGATCCCAGTACCTCGCACCTCGAGGGGCTGGTGCAGCTCTATGGTCGCACAGTGCACGAGCAGGCTGATGAGCAATATCTTGATGTAGAGATCCTGTCGCGCGGGGTGGATGCGGTCCATCGATGGCATAGCCTGCTGAAATTGCGCAACACGGTTGATCAACTCTTGCCAGTCCGTAGGAAACACGTTGTTCACTAAGTTCAGCAGTACGATAATAAAGTCAGCGAAAGTCAACGACGAGGGTGATTCGTGTGGAGATTGCTCTTACTAGTGCCGAACTGAGCGGCGATTCGGGCGGCGGCGCTGTACAGCACCGAGGCTTTCGCGTGCATGGCCGCAGGGCTCTGTGCGTCGTTCGAGAAAACGGGGTCATAGAGGAATGTCTGGACGGTGCGCAAGCTGCGCATGCCCTCGGGAGACGGGTTCTGTATCCACGATGCATGTCAGCGAAAGTGAACATGGACGCCGCGTACCGCTCACTTACACTTTCGTACATCTCGATGCACCGTGGCCACGGAGTGTCAATCTCGGTGCCCCTCGGCTCGTCGTCGGTGAGAACGGTCGTCCTGCCTAGCGCGATGGACCAGTTGCGGTCGAGTATGAACGTAACCCAGAACGCATTGATCCGCTGTCCTTCGTCGATGGGGTCGGTAGGCGGGGTGAGCTGGTACCTAGACGAAGCGTCGCCCGCCACCGCTGCATAGCGCGCACTGCGGATCTGGTGCAACCTGCTCGCGAGCACAATCGCTGAGGCAGCGTCCATGTGGTAGACACCCTCGACAGTGCGGTTGTTGCAGAAAAAGTAGTACGCGAGGAGCACCTCGGCCTGCAAGACGTCCATGATCGCGGCCGGCTGCAAGTCTACGAGCGTAGACGAGAGATCCTCCATGGCGTATGCCAGGAAGTCTTCCTGGAGGGTTTGTAAATTGATGTCCGTGGAAAAGTAGGCGCCAAGGAGATAGACCGCATTGATGAGAGTCGATGCATGCGTGGGGGACGTGGACAGGGGCAAAGCCGACGTGCGCTGCAAGAAGCGAGACACGTGCAAGAAAAATCCAACCTGCGAAGCACCGCTAGAGAACGACCGCATTCTGCATGACACGTCAGAAGAGGATTTCTAATCAACAGAACAAAGGCTAATACGGCTTACAAAGCCTGAGTCGTAGCAGGGGGAAGTACACGACGCTCTCTGTTAGCCGGTGTTGCTGACTGACTGGTGCGGGCTTGAGGATACGGATCGTGTAGCAATACTGGTCCTGCAGTGTTGCTCTCGAGAAACCTGATACGTCCCTGGAGTCGACTGATCCGTTCCTCGAGCAGTTGGATTCCCGATGTTTCTGCGCCTTGACCATATACGCACTCCGTCGGTGTGTTAGCCTTAACACATTGCTGGCACGTCGGGCGCGCAGCGTCGCATCTCTGCATGGTAGTCAGTTCGTCTTGCACACTCGACCCACATCGAGGAGACCCACCAGCTTCTTTTGCCTTTGAAAGGGTCCATTAGACAGCGTAGTTCAAGGAACGTTGTAAAAATGACATACCTGCACCTAAAGCAGGCTCTTGTGGTGGACGCCATTTAGTGCGATGTACGAGTGGGGGATGCAGTACTTGCCGGTTTGAGCTCGACGCTCCCGCCCCTTCATATAGTCATCCTCGAGCGCAAAATCTCTACAGGTGTACGCGTATTTCTCTCAACTCGGAGCAGGGGCAGTGCGCGACGGCGTCTTGCTTTCGCGCGCATGCTCTGTCAGACGTCGGGTTTGGTAAGGCGAGGCCAGTAGACGGCCTGTAGCGGATTTGGGGGACTCACGATGACTGAGAGACCGTGCCAGTTGTACGCTTTCTCCACTGACCGACTCCGCGGTGATAGGCTCGCTCGGCCAAATGTAGAGCCCCGCGACAGTAGCCTCGACCTTTGCAACGCAAGGTAAGGCGCTTATTTCCTTTTATGGCAAGGCCGACACAAGCGCAGATGCGTCATAGCGTTGAGCCGACGCACATCAGTTGCCGTACTGAACGGAACTTACTTCGCAGCGCCGGAGCCAACATTGCTGAGGATAGGATGTGGAGCGTGCTATTCTTCGATGTCTACTGCGTGAGCATGCCCGAAAGCCGACGGTCGCCGCACCGTCTGAGTGAGCACAGAGCGCAAACTCACCTTACTGCTGAGGGTGCCACAAAGGCGATGACAAATGCTCGGAAGTGAATTCTCTCCCTACGGTGACTCCATCGACATTAGATTCGCGGCCCCGACAAAGTCGACAACGTACCGACGAAAGATTGAAGTCGGGCATCGCCCTAAGTCACCGAGAGGAAGAGGAAAAAAAGTCCGTACGTCGGCGCTATCTTGACGGCAGTAGAAGTCGTCAGTCATACGGCACTCGAGGCGGCCATGCCGTGTTCGTTCAACGTTTCCGGCCGCAGAGGATGCCGCTCCATCCTGGTAGTGTACGCGAGATCCCTCGATTTGACGAGGTAACCATCGTCATCCGAACCAATCTGTTGCATCTGCAATCGAGCGCAGATCGCATGGGTTGCGATGATCTTGATCTGGGTCTAGCGTCTAAGCGGAACGCTTAACTTGGGACCAACTTAGAACACGGGGGAAGACAGCGAGAACATGTCATACCTCTGTTCTTGTGAATAGGCCTGAGGTCGGTTTGCGCCCTCGACTCCACGCACGCATCCGACACCCGGAGCGCGTTTTGCACGTCCAGAGCACGTCGCTCACGTCCGGATACATCTCGACGCCGCCGCCACGTCACCCGCGTCGACCCGACGCACGAAACTCAGCACGTGCAGGTCGACCTCTGCGGAGGTGTGAGGGTAAAGATGAGACATGCTGTGTGACATAGAGGAAGGAAGAAACCCCCTTGACGCTGTCGATGCCCCGCACTTACGCACGCCGACCGAGGAAACCGGCGGCAACCTGAGTTATGCTAGGCGATCGGAAAGTCAGTGGGGCAACCCCAAGGACCGGATTACATTGCGGTACACAGCTCAAGCAACGGGGCACACCGGGAAATTGCTACAGAATGACTAGACGCAGCGTGAGGATCACAGCATTCCGAGAGTTCGGCCATCCGAGCGGGTGGGGGCAACTCACCTAAGGCTACAGAGGCAAAATATTGGTATAGCGAGGGTTGCGAGTCATGTCGGCATCTCTAGCGCGACTGACGGATGTGGCCGCGTAATTGCTGGAAGAATGGTATGGTGCGTAGACTGTCTGGAGCCGGACCTTCAGCGTCGAGTCTCTTGCGCGCGCGCTCCGTCTGGGAAACCTATACTTAGCACGTAAAAACAAAATGAGAGAAACGACGCACGATTGTAGCAGTGGCCATGCCCCTCTCCAAACCCTCGAGTAGGGTACACGCCTTGCACAGCTCGTTGCTGGACATATAACCGCATCGCTTGCATGTCTCTGTCCAGGGTGGTTCGTCAGATGCCCTTCCTCGCACAGTTAGGCTCAGCGACTCACGCTGCGCCTTCTGCGTAGCCTTCACCTCCTGCTTCACCTCGAAGGTCTCCCCTGAGTGGATGATATCGATGATTGCACTTGGTCTTGCGGCTTCTAGGTCCTTGAGAAAAGCTCGCGCATGGCCCCGATACGCATCTGGCGAGTAGATACACTCTGTCGAGAAGTAGTCGAGCTTCTTGAAGTAGGCATACCTGGGAGCCCCTAAGGTCACCGTGAAGGGGATGCCGATAGCAACGGTACTCACATCACGATTTCCTTTTCGTACGCGTACTTGAAGGGCTTCGAACGCTTGATGGTGTCTTCGCCCTGGGTACAAATCAGTGTACAGCGGCCAAGCCGTGCGATGTCTCCGCGCATGACTGATATCATGGTGTCAGCTCTAGTCATACTATGTCATGGCGTATCAACTGACTGTTCATGAGCACCGTTTCCGCGATGTCGTCCGCGTTGTGTCCAGTGACGATGTGGTCGACGTGCAACGAGGCAGCGCCTCGGTCTAGCGCCTGACGACGGAAGACCCCGCAAAAAGTGCAGTTGTTTTTCTTGCCGATTTGCGAGACGATAGCGTCCATCGTCCATCCGTACAGCTCGTCATAAGAAAGGATCTTGAGCGGCATGTCGTACTGCTGCTGGTTTCGCTTTACAGTCTGTGAAGACGAGAGGGTAAGACACGCATTTCGTTAGCCTAGCATTCCACTTTACCTCCAATGAATCGTCTCTGTATCCCGTGATTCCTTCGTCGATAGACAAGAGGAACAAGTCCAATCCATATTCATAACGGTCATTAAGCGTTTTCATGACATGGGCGAGCACCGTAGAGTCTATGCATAACGCAATCAGCTTCCTCATGTCGACGAACTATTGTAGGATCCACGGAAACTCGCCTTTGCCACCGGATGCGCCAATAGCCACGCGATCTCCAGGTTTAAATAGCTTCGACTCGGTGATCGTGTTATGAACTTCGGTTTCAAAGACCCAGAAGAAACACTCCTTGCATATCTGCTGGCCGGTCTTTGGCCGCTTCAGGATGGCACGGGCATCATTGCAAAGAGCGCAGAGTCGTGGAGGCATGGCATTGGCAGTTTGTGCACAAGTCACAAATAACCAAATACGGATGTGGCGGATTCGTTCCGAATCAGGAAGTCCGATTCCACGATGGCGACCACACCTTCCCCTGCAGTCAAGCTTCAAGCTTCAAGCTTCAGGTGATAGGTGGTCTCATATTAATCGGTTGCTCAGGCAAATGGGCTTGACGTCTCCCTCGTCTCCCTCTACCTCGACGCGTCTGCGCTGACATTCCACTACTCCATCTACATTGTGCAGTTTCTGCGGACAGGTGAGCTGGACTTCAGGACATATCGCGAAGTCGGCGGACTGATCAACCGTGACCATGCCACATGTGAACAGACCGGTTGACCACGACGGCCACCATGAGTCCCTCTGCGTTGAACTGGGACGTCCTCGATATCGTCTTGTCATTCGGCAACCCATACGACGCCCTCCAATTCTCCATGACCTGTCGCGACGGCCACAACCTGGCGATGTCGCATTTCTTGGAGGAAGTCGAGTTCCCGCTTCCTTGGTTATGCTTACAGGGCGCAAAACGGTCATCACTCGCTTGCCCGGAGCTCTTCAAGGGTTTCCGCGCTTACATGCTCGACTCGCCGCACGCGTCCCATCGCCTCCGGAAGCTCAAGGCTCTTACCCTCGGAAAAGAGGCTTTCTGCGTCAAATGGGGGGGATGTCACGGTGGCACAGGCACCGAACAGCCGACGTACAACTTCACTCTTGCGGGACCGCTCGCGGATGTCATTCGAGGTGCAGTGGAACTACGCAAGATCTCCATCGACTACACAGAAACCATCTTGGATGATGTACCACAGCTCGTAGATGCCATAGCGAGTCTCCCGTGTGTCCAAGAGGTCTGCTTCTATCGCGCCGACGAGTCGACACTCGGCCTTCTCTCTAATATGCAGAGTCGCCCCAGGAAAGTCAAATTTTGCATCATCAAACATAACGATCAAGAGACGGATGAGAGGTGGTGGGGCGATTATGCCTCCGGGGATGATCGCTTTCTAAGCAACTTCACTGAAACCCTGGAGGTTTTGAGCCTGAATGGAGGCTTAGACATCGTAGAGGAGCTCGAACCACACACGGTTTGGCGTGCTGTTCGTGAACTCAACCTCGTTCACGGGAATTCAGTCAATCTACAAGTCATGGCCCGCGCTTTCCCAAATCTGCGCCGTCTGCACTTCGAAGCCACGCCTTCCGCGGCTGTGCCAGACATTGGTCACTGGCGAAAGCTCGATTTCGTCTCAGCATCACATCCTCTCCCTTTGCAGCATCCGGTTCGACACTTCTTCATGCGGTGGCATCTTGATGCATATAGTTACCGCCGACCTGAGGTTGACCAGGCCCTAGAACATGGTACCATCACTATGCTGCAACACATCCTGCCCGTCGTACTCGAGTGCAGTGCTCACAGGCGCACTTTTACGTGCATAGCTCGTCATGCGCCCTCAGTCCGCTGTATGAGAACCACTGTGGCAGTACCGGTACTCAGTATATATAATCGCGGTCATGGACATGACTGGGGCAGGACTATCGAAGAGGCGAAGCTCACATTGGTGAATATAAGCCCACTGTCGAAACATCATAGACACTCACCAATTTTGCACAGATCGACATCTTCTCGCTCCTCCGAACTCTACCTCTCAAAGGGATCGCCATTGTACTCCAGGGACACAGAGCGTGGTTCGAGGCCTCTTACTGGGAGCAGCATGCTCGCACAATTGCAGCCTGTATTCCTACGCTGGAATACATTGGGTTGCGCCGGAAGGCCGATGCCTATTGGCCTAGCGATCATTGGGATGGTCCGGAGCCATACCGGTGGTACCAGGTCGTTGAGCGCACCGAGCAGTCGGAGGTGGCTGTAGAGAGCCTGTCGGACGAGGAAGGTGTCCGCATCCACTCTGCACTCTTCAGCATGTCCAGAAGTGTTGAATGAGCTTCATTCTGAGCTTCATTCGGGCCATTGAATGCAGGTGAATACGGAAGCCCGAGTCACTCATGCGTTCAATATAGCATGACTCGGACACACTAGAGTCTGTGTATTTAATGGACCTACGAGCATGTGCTTTATTCTTTCCGATATTTCGAGTGCGAACATGGAACGTTAGCGCTGCTCGGGCGAAGACGGCTCCTCAGGCTGCCAAGGGCGGCGAGTTGGCGGCGACTCGCGAGGGCACTGGGCAGGATTCGGGAATGATGGACGCGTTTGTCACGTGATGCGGGGTGCAATGGTCCCGCGCCACCGTCAGCACGTCGTCCTCCTGACCACCAATGTGAATCTGACCTCTGTTTCCTCTCACCTGAGGCTTCTTCGAACCACAAAAGCTCTGACCTGTTAACGGTTTCTTGCAAGTCTTGTTGCGGATACTGGAATGCAATACCCGCGTGAAAATACGGCCAGGATGATATCGTCTGTTTGGAGTGAGTTGACCTCCAGAACAGGATGTAGCGGGCATGTATCGTCAGGTGCGCGGTCAGCTGCTGGGCCTCCCCGTATTCCTCCTATTCCTACGCCCCTTCGGCACTCCTCTTCTCCACAGATCTGCACGCCGTCTGCATCGGGCTCGTTCCCTTCGGATGTTGTCGGTGTGAACCGGCTATGAGAAGAGCGCGTGCTGCGGCTCCCGCCTATATACAGTAAACCGCGAGCGTTGCGTCCGCTCATTCCAGTCCCTGCGAGGACGGTTAGCTTTCGACTGTATTGCATCAGGTGCAGGGCCTTCGTCACGGAACTCCAGACGAACCATACAGCTCAGGACCGAAGCGTTGGCGTCGTGACCCTTTCCAGCCCACCGCAACCATGTCGAAGGCTCTGGAATTAGCAGCGTCGCTGCCAGTGACCCCGCCGCCTGACGTCGCGCCGCCCAAGAAGAAGCAGCCGTACCCGTTCTGGCTCGGAGGTGCGTTACGTTCATCCAGAAGCACAGTTGCAGGGCTTCGACCGACTCGAACGATCGACGTCGATCTAATCTCCACTATGTCCGCATGCAGGTGCCGCTGCGACAATCGCTGCATCCATAACACAGTATGTCATCTCACTTGTGTCTTGACATGAGAGCCTGATGTACGTATCTGGTACCTGACAGCCCGCTGGACTTGACGAAGGTGCGGTTGCAGGCGACGGAGGACAAGAGGATGATCGAGTCCATACGTAAGACCGTGCGCACAGCTGGCGTGCGGGGGCTCTTCGACGGCATTACGGGAACATGGCTCCGCCAGATGTCATACTCGGTATGCCGCTTCTGGGCGTACGACGAGGCAAAGAAGATCGTAGGGGCAGGTGGGTGCATCATCGAGCGTGTGAGTACTACCATGGAAATGAACATGCTCTGCCCTCCACAGGTCCGAATGCACCGGCATGGAAGTTAGCGCTTGCGGGCAGCATGGGTGCGGACATAGAAGCCTGGGGGTTGCTCTCGGATTACTCAAATACTATTATGTAGCGGGTGGCATCGCGGGGCTCGTCGGCAACCCCGGAGGTACGTCAATCTCGTCCTAATCTACCACACCGATCGCTGAGATTAAGATCTGCGCAGAGATTATTATGGTCTGTAGTGCTTCCAATCCAGGTCGCTAGGTTTGCTTGACGCACGTGCGTACTCAGGTCCGACTCCAAGGTGACCTGGCCAAGCCGCCAGAGAAGCAGCTAGGGTACAAGAATGCCGTTGATGGGCTCATACGCGTGCGTCTGGACCCATGATTAGCTGTGGGCAAACGTACTGACGCTCCGATGTAGATGGTACGCGAGGAGGGTTGGTCGTCTCTGGGACGTGGAGTTGGCCCGAACATATTCCGTGCCATATTGATGAACGCGAGTCAACTGGCGTCGTAAGTGGGACAAATTGAACGCAAAGTCTGATTATTTTATTGAGCTCTTGATGTTCTCAGGTACGATTTCTTCAAGGCTGAGCTACTCAAGACTAGTTACTTCGAAGATAACATCAACGTCCATGTGACAGCGAGCTTTGCTGCTGTCAGTGTTGTGTGACCACTGTGAATGACCAGTACTCAAACGAGCATTGCAGGGCACGGTAGCAACCACGGTCTGCTCACCAGCTGATGTCATCAAGGTACAAGCCAAAAGTGCATCCCTCGCGCCACTGTACTGACGGAGTGCTGATTCTCAGAGTCGGATTATGAGCGCCTCAGGCAAAGACGGTTCTGTGCGTTATGGCTCTACACTTCCGCGCGCCATGCGATGCTCACAGTAGACATTTTTGTCTCAGTCGACCCTGCAAGTCATCAAGACGTCGCTAAAGAACGAAGGCCCGATGTTCATGTTCAGAGGCTGGCTTCCTGCATGGACCCGTCTGCAGCCGACGACAATCCTGATTTTCGTCACGCTCGAGCAGCTGAAGAACCTTGTGGATTATACCCGGTCGCTTCGTGGGCAGTAGGGAAGAGCTCGGCGCGGGGTCTGGACTTTAACGCTATTGTTTGTGATGTGCCCGGATTGCAGTGTACGAGGAGGCTGTGTTTTTGGTGCGTCGGGGATCATTGATGTTCCTTGGGCGCGTATTGATCCATTGAGGATGATAGTTGTTGTATACCAGTGTAAATCCACAGGTGTATTGTGTTGTACCATACCCTTTGCACGAGACGATTGCGATCTTGAAGTCTGTTCATCAAGCGCAGATTTGTCCTGTGTGGCGATGCCGCCTGACACAGAAGAGTCAGAAGGTCGTGTTTGGAGCATCTGTTGGGACGGGCGATCGCCCAACTTTGGCCGCAGACAGAACGCCGTGCGAGACCGAAGGACCGCCCCTAAACTGCACGATCAGGCGCTTATTTCTATTAGGTGGCGCCGTCCCGCCTCGACGAATGGGATGCGCTTCTCGGTCGGTTTAGTTTGCCCACAGCCGGGCTAAAGCTGCGACATGCAAATTGGAAACAGCGCTGAAGGATCGCCACCTGTCAGTAGGCCCGCTAACAACGTGTCACAGGAGCGAATGGCCGCTCGCATCGCGAGGCTGGGCTATACATATAAAGGTTAGAGTTGTGGATTGACCGTGCAACCTTCGCCATTCCCTTGAGACGTTCGAACTGCTATCTACCGGCTCTGAGAGAGCAGTTCGTTCCCCAAGATGTCCGCTGCGGGTCCTCTGGCTGTACTGAAGGAGCTGCCGACGCCATACGTCCTCACACTCCTTGCTGTATTCTCTTACTTGCTGTATCTCCAGGTGACCCGCCGGTCGCATCTCAGGTTGCCTCCCGGTCCCCGTGGACTACCCTTCATCGGCAATGCGCTGCAAATTCCGCCCGAGCGTGCATGGGTCACCTTCGCAAAGTGGTCTGAGACATATGGTGAGCCTTCAGTACTACACCCTCGACATCGGTACTCATTGCGCTCTCAACCGTCAGGTGGCATTATGCATCTGTCGGCCCTCGGGAAGCCGACGATAGTGCTCAGTTCTCCCGAAATCGTCAACGAGCTGCTCGAGAAACGGAGCGCGATATACTCGGACAGGCCCGTCCAGACGATGACCAGTGAACTGTAAGCCATTCATCATATGATGGGAGTTTGCGGGGTATCTGCTGAATGAACGCACGTGCGCAGGATGGGATACGGGCCGTTCCTGCCAGTATGTGCATACGGGAGCTGGCACAGGGAAGGTCGCAGGATCATGGCGGGCGCGCTGAGTGCGAGCAAGATGGCGGACATCCGCCAGCTCCAGATGCAGAAGACGAGCCGACTCCTGACGAAGTTGTTGAACAATCCCGAGGACCTCTGGTCTCATATGCGATGGTCAGTACTGGCGGCATACCCTCCATGGGTGCGTTGACATTGATGTCATTTGAAGGTTCATCGCGAGTATCTCTTTCGGCGTCAGCCACGGATACAACGTGGAGAGCCTCGAGGACCCGCTGGTCCGGCTGGCTGAGCGGGCGAATCTTGAGTACTGCTTGGCGGCTGTACCGGGGGCGTTCTTGGTCGATGTGATACCTGCATGTGCGTCGGACCATACCTGTCTGTCCCAAACGTTAGCTGATGTATTGCAGTGCAATACGTGCCTGACTGGTTCCCGGGTGCTGGCTGGAAGCAAAAGCTCAAGGCGTGGCGTGGGACTACGGATCGTCTGAGGGACGAGCCGTTTGAGTACGTAAAAGAACAAGTGGTAGGTGTCCGCTTTGTGAGATGCTGGTTTTGGGCTCATGACAGTTCTATAGGCGAAAGGTACAGCCCAGCCCTCGGTTACGGCAAGCCTCATCGAAGAGAATCCGAACCGGAGTGAGGAGGAAGAACGGCTGTTCAGATACATGTCGAGTTCAATCTATTCCGGTACGCCGCCATGTCGTGGTCTCATCGTATCCTGACTTGCTGACCTTCGTATTATGATGCAGCTGGTGCAGACACGGTTCGTAGGCTCATACCAGTGGTTTTCCCTGTCTGACGTAGCTCTAGACCGTTTCCGCGATCGAGTCCTTCTTCATGGCCATGATGTTATACCCAGAGGTCCAGCGCAAAGCGCAACTTGAGCTCGACACAGTACTCGGGCCTGGCCATATCGCGAACTGGGATGACCTCCATAGATTGACATATATTCAAGCTCTGATATATGAGATCTACCGATGGAACCCGGTGGCTCCTATAGGTGAGTGTGGTGCTTGACTCAGTTCTGTACGAGATTGACACGGGCTCTCGAAGCACTGCCGCACAGGGTGACGCAAGACGACGTCTACGAAGGATGCCACATTCCCGCGGGAGCTACGATTGTGGTCAATAACTGGTCAGTCGGCCTGCTGTTCTAGCTTGTGTATAGGCTCAAAATTATCAGGGCAATTCTGCACGACGCCGCTCTGTATCCTGAACCCTTCGAGTTTAAACCGGAGCGGTACTTGGATTCCAAGGCAACCGGACTAAACCCGGATCCTCGTCAGTTCGCCTTCGGATACGGCCGACGGTAAGTCGTACTCCACATGCAGAGGCGGGAAGGCTGAAAGGTTAATGCCTGATGTTCAGAGTGTGCCCGGGCAAAACTCTTGCTGAGGACTCAGTCTTCATAGCTGTGACATCGACTCTCGCGTTGTTCGAAATATCCAAAGTGCTTGATGCCAATGGTGCACCTATCGAACCTGACTCGACATTCGATGGCTTTATCTCGTGAGTTGCAGTTGTGAATCAGGTTTATCTCGCGGCTCATGAAGGACTTTGCAGGCACCCGCCTCGCTTCAGCGCTCGTGTGACTCCTCGTTTCCCCAACGTCGAGCGGATGATTCCCGCAGCATAAGGCTCGTTACTATAACCATGTTTCGTTCTAAGTTATCTTGCGCTTGTAGTGGTTGTGATCCGTATGTATTTGACTGAGCGGTTGAGGAAACGAGCGAGACATCATGTTGTGAGTTCCGATGTTTACACTTCGATGTCAATTCCAGACCATTCGTTCCTTCTGTATATGTAGTTCTGACATGCACTGTCTTCCGGCTACTCAAGAACTGTCCGGAGGCCAAAGAACTCGGTCGGTCGCCATGCTTGGCAGCAATTTGTGCGTCGTGCGATGCGTCGCTGGTGCGGAGGTTGAGCGGGATAAGGAGATCAGGACGTTTCGCATTGTTCTCGTCTAACTTAGAACCCAATGTACTTCCTACCTACTCCGCTCTGCTATGATGTTCCCCAAGGCTTTCCTGCTATTGTGCTGTGGGTCGAAGTAATCACCAGAACTCGAAGGACGGAGGCAAGCCGCTCAATTGAGCCGCGGCCCGGCACGCAGGCCCGGCTATCCCCGCGGGGAGGCCGGTGGCTGAGACTGAGGAGCTCTGCGACTTTGTAATCGTCGTTCCCACTCTCGTCTCGTTTTCTCGTCCGTGTCCTATCAGTGTCTGGTCATCGCATTTTTGCCCGAGCTCATCGCCTGTACGATGCCGCCAACTAACGGGAGTGACGAGGAGCAGTCCGCAGAGGCCAAGCCTTCGACATCGACCTCGAACCCGTCTGCCACTGGGAGCAGCACCAGCTCTATATTGAAGGAGAGGCGGTTCAAGCTCAGCAGGTTCGTCGCATGATCATTTATTTTGTCCTCATGCGTGTTGACAAGAGCTCTACGCCTGCAATTGTAGAGCGTGCGATCGGTGTCGGTGAGCACTATGCTGCGTAGTCGAGAAACACAGCGCCGGGCTCACACTGGGACAGGCGTCGTAGGATCAAGTGCGACGAAGGGCACCCATGCCAGTCATGTCTCACATCCAACTCGTCATGTACATTCGAGGAGCCGGGCAAGCGGACACACCCGCACAAGTCAAAGTGAGTCATCTCCTCTACCCTAGTGGGTAATTCGCGCATTCCCTGGTTTCCTTCCGTGTCGTTTACCCCGGCGAGTTTGAGCGCTCTACGAGAAGTAAAGAGACACCCCGCCCTGTGTCTCTGGTCTGCGCTGGCGTTCAGTCGGGCAGCAGACGAATTATCGGCAAGCGCTTTCGCGAAGTGCACACAGGGGTCGGGTGGGCTCGGGTGGCCTAAGCACTCGCTTCTCCAGGATGGTTGGGGAGCCGTCATTGTATTTGGTAGAACCCATGGAGGTGTGTTGTGTATTTCATCGCGTCCAGGTGGACCACTGCTGAATCCCGTGTGGATTGGGGCCTCCCCACGGAATTGAGAAAGCTGAGCAGTGGGTTCCGCGCTTTCTCGTTACGAGAAACGGGCACGGAAACGGACGTCCATGATACCAGTGATGACGTCTGCTCGGATATAGTTTGCAGGCACCGTTGGCGGATTGAGCGTCCTCGAAGCGTCTGTCACCTGGGTATCTGACGCTCGAAGTCCTCGTGCCGGGGCCCTCCATAATCGGGGAGGAAGCTGTAATTGATACAGGACACAAAGCGACAACCCTCCGCGAGGCAGGGGAGGATGGGTGAATACAGGACATGTGCCTCATTCTCGCCCGAAGGGTATCGTCTTTGAACAAGACGAGTTACTGTGTCGTCGGGCGCAGTCTACCACACAAAGCCCGGGTGTCGGTGCTACGTAGATCTACGTCAGTCAAGCGAGGACTGACGATAGATCTGACCGCACTTTTATGCTCGACAAGTCTTCAAGAATGGTGCAATACCAACTCCATTCACGCCCTAGAACCTAAACGTACCGTTCGCGGACATAGAGCGGATAGATTGCTAGGGCGAGGCATATTCTCATGCTCGTCTCTTTCAACTACCACTACGTCCTGCTGCTGGGCGCGATTTTATCTGGCCCACGTTTCTGTATATTCAGGGAACGTTGCTGACATCCCGCACCCATAGGCGTGCTGCGACCCTCGAGGATCGCATGCACCATTTGGAGACGCTGATTCAAGCCATTCCTCCCGCCGTCTTCGCAGCCGGCGGCGCAGGAGCCGCTCCCCCACACTCCCCGATCGACCCGAGCACCAGCCCGCACGCATCCTTCGCGAACTCGACGCACATCTTCCCAACAGCGGTCCCCCCGCCGTCCCTGAACTCATATCCCCTGATGAACCCCTCGACCTTCTTCGCACCCGTCAAGGCGACGCGCAATGCGAGTCCGAGCTTCTCAGGCGGGCAGAGCGGCAGCATAGTGGTCGACAACCTCATGGAAGACACTGCGCGGATGTCGCTGTCGTCTTCGTATCTGTACTTCGACGACGAGGGGTATACGCGGTGGCAGGGCGAGACGTCGGGCCTACCGCTTCTGGACTCGTTGGTGGAGCGCCATAATATGGCGATCAAACCCGATCCAGAAAGAGGGCAAGCACAGGCGCAGGCGTGGACGAGCCAAAACGGACAGCCAGTTAGCGATTGGTTCCCGGATCGGACGTCGAAGAGGGTGGACAACAACCCGGAGGCCGTCTGGAAGCTGATTACTTCCTTCATTGCGCCGGAGTTGATGGACAGGTTTGTTGTGCACGTTTTGGCGTACTGGACAACCTGTATTGATTCATGTCAGTCTCGTGCAATGCTTCCTGTCAACAACATATTATTTGCTGCCCTTGCTGCATGTTCCGACCTTCCTTTCGGTAGGCGTCCTATATTTACCGCTTTGAACAGTCTATTCAGTCATTCATTCATAGGACTACGGTAATCCGCGGAAATGGGGAGAGCCAGGATTTGCGGCCTTCGTAGTCGCCGTCTGCTGTCTGTCTTCTCGCCACATCGATGATCCGCGCGTGCGTGGCGATCCCAGCGATGGGAACAGCGCGGGCACCCAATGGTTTGAGCTGTTTGGCCGCTTGCGGACGCTCCCGAGCGCAGACAGGCCCACGATCTACACAGTCCAGGCCGTGCTTGTTGCGGGTGTGTACGCCGTAGGCCTCGGCAAGCTCTCGAAGGCGTTCGGGTTACTCGCAGAGGCCGTGACGCTCTCGATCGACATCGGACTGCATCGCTCCGTGGACGACTACGACGTGTTCGACCCGATCGAGGACGAGGTGCGGAAACGCACGTTCTGGTGCGTGTACCTGTGGGACAAGCAGGCGAGCTCGTACTTTGGGCGTCCGCCCGTCATCCGCCTGCGCGACTGCGATGTGGGCGAGCCGGCGATTGTGGACGACGAGCTCATCACGCGCGATGGCGTTGGGGTCAGCCGGCGGAGACGGAGCCGCGCATGGGCGCATTTGTGAGCACCGTACGCATCTTTATCGTGCTGGAATCTGTCGTGGACATCCCGCCGCCTCGACCTGTGGGTGATGCGTGTTCGCCGTTCCTCGCTCGGGCGTCGTCAGTCCTTGGGCCTTTCAAGAGAACAGGAGACCTGAGCGAAGAGGAAGCGTTGTTGGACGACATCGTGCGATCTCTTCCGCCCCATTGGGCGCACTCCGTGGAGACCATGACGAGTGACGACGTCTTGCGGGTGACCCAAGCGAACCGTCTGCACTGCGCCCAGCAGTATGTGCGGATGCTGATTCATCGGCATCGCTTCTCGGAGATGGTAGCGGAGCGGACACAAACGGGAATCATCGAACAGACAGACGCTGAGGTCGAAGCAATGCGTGCTGCACATGCATGCGCTCTCCAGATCATCTCTTCTCACTTACATATTGCCGCGAAGGGCTTGATGACCTACTGTAAGTCTCATTCGCTTGCGCGTAGAGCACGACTGACTCAAGACATACCCAGATGGAGTGCATGTCATTCATCAGTTGACGGCGGCTGGGCGTACTCTGGTTGCAATACTACTTTGTTGTCAACCTGAGAAGATGCAGCCTTTGATCGCCCCAGGTCTCGAGGCACTCCGTTCGTCCGTCGGCCTGCTCAAGCGATTCAGTGGGCGCTACATCTGCGGACAACGCTCCGGTGACTTGCTGGAAGAGTTCTGCAGACGTGAGTCCACAGCGGCCGTCGCCTTGTCATCCCAATTGACTCACATTTGTCACTGTCAGTCACTGCGATACCCTTGGACGCTGTGCGCAACGAATGTCCCGGAGCGAGCAATCGGCCCGCGTGGGTGCGGCCCGCCCGCAAGAAAACGCCCTCGAGCGCACGTTCGCCTGCCCACTCCGCGGATTCGCCATCACATCATGGTAGTCCAGAAGACTTCAGTGCGGATGCGTTCCTGGACCTCCGTGCCAAGAGTCAGGAGCCAAATCTCTTCGCATCATCGAGTTCGTCGACGCAGGTCGTGAACGGGTTTGGAGGCCTCTCCTCGTTCATGGACACGTCCAACGGTATGGACATGATGTCTACGGACAGTTCGCTGCCCATGTCGCAGCAAGACCTCCTCGCCCTGCTCAGCGACGGGTCCGTCGACATGACGTCGTTACTGATGTCGCCCAATATGGGCGGATCTGCAGAACCTCAGGGCGGGGGCTTCTACGCTATGACACCAACACCAAATGGAAGTGGTCCAGTCGGCATGGTCTCTCCTTAGGTCATCTGTATAGCTCACGAGTACATAAGAATCGCGCATATACTATCTGTATCAATCTTGCTGTATGTAGCTGCGTAGGAACGTCGAATTGCTTTGATGCGTTTTGCATAAGTAGTACACTGTCCCAGAAGGGTCTCTGACACTGAGACTTTGCATACATAGCAGAGTGTCCTGGCCTACTACGCGTATGATGCCCATCGCTGAACGTCACGGTCCAAACTTCGCACCTCTATTTCACAGTCGGAAGCCTGGCAGAGGAACGGTGCGGAGGCTGTCACTTTAAGCCTGGCGTGTCTTTGTCAGTTGGTTCGCCGAGTGAAGTATCTGGCCAGGAACGGAGCGTGTCTTCTTGTTGAAAATACCTCTGATGCCAGGCAGGCTATCCAGTAACGTATCAGTCTCTACCGGAGGCTGTAGACCGGAAGGACCAGGAGTCGGGACTGGCTGGGCAAGGGAACGTTCTGTGTCGGGCGAGGTGGTAGCTGGAGCTGAGTGCGACGTGGATATCGGTGGAGACGAAGCATGTATTAGCTTCGCGGCCTCAGCCTTGAGCGATGCATATCGTGTTTTCCTTTCCGTAGTCACAACCTCGTCCTTCTCGAACGCCTCGATGGATTGCACAAGGCACGCGGGACTGAGGAAAGATATCCTTTCTTCACAGTGCGTAAGCAGCAGAGTGTTAACGCGCACTGCCTGGTCCTGCGTGAGGTTGTCGACGGCAAACTCGAACTTGTCCTGAAGACGGCTGTGGTCGTCCAACATACCGCGCGCCAGGAGGTCCTCCAGCTTCTCTCGGTCTTCGTCGGTCATGTCTTCAGGCCGTCGATCTGCACACTCATACGACGCGGGTGAAAAAGGTTGGACGAATATCGGGTTCGAGAATGTCCGGGGTAAATCGTTACAGCGGTTTTCAGAACTATGCGGAATCGCGAGAAAAACGAAAACGCACCTCGGGCACTGGGCCAGCGCCCCGAGCCACGATTAGATTAGATGCAGTCCGAGTTAGGAAGCCATTATATTGATACGACGCTGCGCGTCCCGCCTCTCCGAGCGAGCGATGTAACAAGCTTCAGGGTGAAGTCGACTGTGAACAAAAATGGGAAGGGTATGTAAATAAGGCATGCAGAGGTCTGGTATCTTTTCCCCATCCAATGACCATTCACTTTAGCCTCGGATGGAACCACTTGATCAAATTTACTCGAAAAACCAACAGAGCTCATCTAGCAATGGTCCTCGCACTGGACCGTAATTTAGACAGCCAAAGATGTATGTAAAGCTGTTTGTGCTCCACATTTACCCTGGTCATAACACCCAATGTGCACAACATTGCCCTTGCCATGCAACAATATAGTATACTTACATTGATTATCAATTCATCACAGAATGGGTCCTGCTCAACGTGCTGCTTCACTCCGGATTTCATTTATTCATGTCTGAAAGTCAAAAGATCTTGTTCGCGGACTGAATGTATATGTACTACTTACGTTAGAGCAACTGAGTCGTTCGTACTTACTGTATGTTGTTTACATAATCAGCTACCCACACTTACTATATATGCTATATTATATACATTGCGCGCCGCGCATTGTGAGCCCTACTTTTCCACCGTTTTTCCTGCTGCATTGGTGTGTCAGCGTAGCTCGCTGCCATCTTGTTGTCATTTACATGTAACGACTGTGATTTCGTATGCCTGCTGACCGAAATGGCCTAGCTTATCAGTTCCAGATTTGGCCACTATCTAATCTAATCGTGGCTCGGGGCGCTGGTCCAGTGCCCGAGGTGCGTTTTCGTTTTTCTCGCGATTCCGCATAGTTCTGAAAACCGCTGTAAAGTACGAGACGTTACTGGACCCGGCCTGTAGCAAAGCCGTCTCGCATGTCATCGCGGTCGAGCGCATGATGATAACGAGTTTCGGAGTGATGGGGAAAGACCGTGTTAGGGGGAAGAAGGAAGCGCCTGGGGCGCCTGGGGACATCATGTCGATGATGTGGTTCATGGGCGTTGTAGCCCCTTCCGCGAGGCCGGGTCCGTTCTCGGTAAGGACGAATTCAGTGCCAGGGGGAGCACGGTACAGCCCAGGTTGCATATGCAAGGCTTCCCTTTCGTAGTCCTGCCGTACCGCGGTTGGCAGGCGTTCGTCGGTCGCCACCTCCCAGTGCTCGTCTTCTAGGAGCAGGGCAAGGTTGCGGAGCCAGACCGCCCGCGCGTCCGCCAGGCCATGCCTTTCCATGTACTGTTTCACCACGTCCTCTGTGGCTGGGTCAAAGCGATTTTCGATGAACTGACGAGAGTGGACCCCGTTCCGGTAGAAGAGGAGGAAGAGGAACTTCCGGATGGTATTGAGCTGGGAGCGGACTAACTCTATCGAGGAGCAGCCCCTCTCCTCGGCGTCGGCTAGGATTTGAAAGACATTTGCAGTATCGCTCTCGAGTTTGGAGAAGGCCTGCCAGGCTGCTCAACGCGGTACACGTCCGTCGGATCTGCGCTATCCTTGTACATATCGATTATACCGAACGTCTTGCCGAGATCGGTCGTGCCCAGCGTGTTAGACTGTCTGTCGTAGGAATTGATGCGTTCCCGTTTGCGGTTCCGACTCTTACCCTTTGTCCTTTGTACACGTGCGGATTAAACGACGGCTGCGGTGCGCCTTCGTATCTACTCACTTGTGACCTGCCAGGCTAGTCGGTTGCCATCGACGCAAAACAAAGCGCGGCAGATAGTGATGAAATTGGCCAGTGCTGCTGATATGTCTTGCCATTGCGGTGGGAGATGATCGATGAGAACGAACCCGGGCGACCTGTTGGTTCTCTGAGAGATCACCCGATACATATAGGTTGCCGTGTATGGGTCGTGGATGTAGGTTAGAGTTCACACATGGCCTCTCGTGCTGAGATAGGGAAGAAGGCTCACGCATGGACTTTGATGCACAGGCGAGCATTATTTAGATGGAGCGCGACGGAACCGTGACGGCAACGTTTTCGCTTTGTTCCAAGCTCGACGACAGCGCTAGCTATGCGCCTTCCGAGTCAATGCGACTATCAAGTTATTATTACGCGGCGAGCAATCATGAACAATGTACCACTCACAAACAGTATTCACAGACATCGGCTTTCTACGCAGAGCCTGACCCATGCAACAACTGATACTGTGTCAATACAGAATGCAGGTATTGAGCGGTCGAGCTGATATCTCCGGAGATCATGATAGGTGCAGTGACGGAGAGATGTGTCGCTCTGCCATGCTAGGCACACCCAGAACTCGCGATCAGATACGAGAGCGCAAACAACAGCCAGGAAGTGCTTTTGCCAATGTGTAGTAAGTATGTCTTCGCGACTGAGTCGCTTGATATGCGCACGCAAGGTCGGGCCAGGTTCGGGATGGTGACGTCGGATATGTCCGAAGCATCGAGATCACGATTGTACTCAACTTCGCGCACTGGCTGTGCATGTGGCCATCACCTTCACCATCCCAGAGACTAGTACTCACTGTCAGATGTACTGCGAAATGTCTCAGGTACGCAACACGAGCCTCCTGTCTTATGCGCTCTTAATTGGGTAGATCAAATTCCTTCGACAGTACTCGAGTCGCGCTTGACCAAGTACTAGTCATGGCAGCCGCTGCGCACCTGCTAGATGGGAACCAACCGAAGAGTTCCCAGGAGTCGCGCACTGACATCTGACTTGTATTTTTATTGATCATCACAGTGCATGATGATCGTGTAAATTATCCTTGACAACATAGTCAGAGTCCGACAGTCGCGACTTCACGGGGTGCCAGGTCTGCATGCAGTGACAAGTTATCGTCCTTCAGCATCCCACCGTCCACGAAATCGGTCATGTATTCTTGGAATACGTAAGTCCAAGAGACTCGGAAGTGCCATAGCTGGGTTAACAAGTCTTCCTATGCTCTATACAGCTGATCTGACACTAGCGGGCTACAGGTACAGCACTACAATCACAGTTGCTGACGTATAAGACAACAGTGCGCTCAGCATGGTCACTACCGTATGGTTCTACGCCTATATTCTTCCCCCGTCACGGACGCCCTCGTCGCGCCGAGGCAGCAGGTCCCTTGCCTAGGAAGTGCCTTGTATATTATATTCCTACCATCTGACTGCTCGTAGGACCACATACATATGGAGCATTGTGTACGATGACATTGATAAATGTCAATGCATGTCTCGGGCGACCATATGTAACACCTCCCTTATTACACTCATCATGCGTTTGTTTGACCTCCAATGTTGACGGAGATATGAGTGGCCTCAGGCAAAGCTCGCTCTGCATCGCGCGACAGTGCCTCACAAGATCATTCGCCTTCCAGATGGTTCATCCGAGTACAGCACATTTCACTGATACAGCACGATAATCAACTGCGCTCGTCGAACTGGCAAGACTGGGTCCGGAAGAATGCTCGCAGGACCTTTCTGGACACTGTCGACGCGCTCAGAGTCCGTGGTTATGATGCCCCATCCATTCGACTGGGCCCACTGGTGTATATGGTTTCATAGGAACGGCTGATATCTGCTTCTACGGACCGAGAAGGTGATGCTCTTGATGCACATGATAAAGAGGTGCCTTCGACGGCTGCGCCGCTGACTCGACGCGCAGTGCGTACTATGCCCGCGGCACTCAGACTGTCGGAAGACGCATTGTGAAGTCAGATCCGCGGCGCATATCGCATTTGCATATACATGCGTTGCAGGCTCGTAGGCTCCATACAAGCGCCAGGATATCGATGTCCTCAGGTATATGTAATGATGAGTTGTACGGTGTCAAGCGTCGAGCAGATGCCAACATACCGTAGAACTTTCGCTGTCAATCCTGAGGGGATAGGATGTTGCTGCAACCCACCGGACATTGGTACCTGAGTGTGAAGTGCGCCGTAAAGACCAAGGGTATGGGATAGCTATTGGTGCGTCGAAATTCGGCCCTTGCAAGATCATCAACTACTGTTCCATATTGATGAACCGCTCACCAGGAATTCATTAACTGATAGAGGTATGCCCTAGGACACCAGAAGCAAACCGGCTTCATAGTGTCGCCACTGCATCAGCATCTGGAGACATCCATATCGCTTCGACGAGTCTTCGTTACCGCAATCGTCCCAGGAAATGCAAACGAAGCACGCCGCACGTCGACTCATGCCATTCCTTGTAGCCTAAGGCGGAACCTCGCTCGTCATACTCGTGTATTCTCGCCGTGAACCGAATACCGCGGCGGCGCAAGTGCCGGTCCCGACCCTCCGACTGACTGGTATGCGGCCAATGTCTGAGTGAGCCGAGCTCATCTGGAGCTTCTGCTGTCCTAGCCTCGTGTTGCGGTAGCAGTGCGAGCGTCCCAAGGATAGGCGATGACTCCACGCACTGCCTTGCCATGGAAAAGGATAAATATCAGCGGCGGGGGAAACGGTCTGCATCCTGAGCCTCACTCACCCTTAACCACCATGGCACTCATGAACCGCGAAACCGTATCTCGCTTCACTGCAATTAAACAGGTCGAGGCGACCATCGATCGCATCTTAACTGAGTATCCTCGCGACGTCACTTCGACGTTGTCCCCTTCGGAGGTCCATTTCTTCGGGCAGTCCGTTGACTTGCGCCGCCTGCTGGTTATGAAAGAGCTGTATCGCCTCAGCGAGGACGTCGATCGCGTCTACACCGAGCACAACGAACAGAATCGTGCCGCCCGCAATGACAACCCCTCGTCACTACATCTTGAAGCCTACGAGAGGTCCTTCAAAGAGATCAACGAAATGGCTGGCCGCCCGTTTGGCCGTGGCCAGGTCCGTCGCTTCCTCGACTTGGGCTTCGCCCCGGGTGGCGTTACGACCTGGCTATTGCGCAGCAATGGAAGCGCGCTTGGAACGGGGATCAGTTTGTCCCTGGAAGCCTCAGGCATCCAGTCACAAGTTGACCTCCAGTTCCTTGCGCGGTTCCAACAACGCTACGAGGACATACGCGACATCGCAGACGGACGAGCGACCATTGGTACGTACATGTCACAATCATCGGCGAAGTATAACGGCTCACTTCATCTTGCCGTAGACAGCGGCGCCTTCGACCTCGTGATCGCGAATGCCGCCGTCGTGCTTCCCGAAGACAATGTGTCGTGGAACCATCGGGTCCACTTGGTATACGCACAGTTGCTGGTCGCCTTCCAGAACATCGCTCCCGGTGGCTCCCTGACCATCAGCCTCCAGACCCGGCCCTTCGACTGGGTTGTTGACGTTCTCACAACCCTCCGGCAGTCATTTGCATCCATCATTGCAGTCAAGCCTAAGCTACATGCAAAGAGATCAGTTACTCACGTTGTATGCCAAGGCTACATGGCCAGTAGCGACGCGGAGTGTTCCTATGTCGAGCGCATTCGCGCAGGGATCGGATACTTGAAACAAGCCAGTAAGGGGTGGTCTCTCAATGCATATGAATTGCACACTCACATACATTCTGTGATAGGTGGGGCTGTCGATGCGCCACTCGGCGGGACGGCAAATTTGCCCCGAATCTCTGCTCCTCCGAATCAAGTCAACCTGGAAGCTCAGGTTCAGTTCGTCGCGGAGCTCCTCACGCCCGTATGGAAGCGCCAATACACTGCTATCCACGAGCACTACCAGGAGGTGCTGCGGGATACCCATGAACGTGCGTATGACTCTCACGTCCCACAAAGTAACACAGAAGAAAGGCATTGACTGTCTCCATTTTGACCAGGTGGTCCTACCGTTCCAGCGAGTAATGCAGATGCAGTTGGGTCTTGGCGGCGCCAGCAGACGGCTGTCGTGCAGCCCGGCGGCTCCGGTTCCTCCAACTGGCGGAACCGCGCTACCGAGCAGCACGGCAGCGGCCAGAGGGGCCGTGAACATAGGACTACCGGGTCCGGTGACCGCTCCGGTCGTAGTGGAGGCATGACCACTGACCTTTCCTGGAGGAGGGGCCAGCATTAAGTGCTGAGGTGCTTACTGTATCTATCCCCCAGCGGCGAACCTGACACTGACTCCGTGAGCTTTCAATTACAGCCAGTGAAATCCCGCTCACCTATGCTGTAGACATACGCTCGTGTTTTCTTGTTCCGACATCCACGCCTCGTTGTACGGTCCTCTTGCGATTCTTGCATGCTATGCGTTCTTTCAGATTCCTTTGCTACTTCGTCATGTTATGCCTGCTTCGAACTTCCCTTGATATATATAGCTATCTCCGAGGCGTGTACGATATGTTCGATAATCGCTATCATCCGCTGGATTAGTGTTCGTTCAAGTCAAGTCGATACATTACACCACTTACCAGTGTGCCAGCAAATCCGCGTGCTATAAGAAGCATCCTGTGCCAGGAGGGCATACGTAGGATCTGCATAGGATATATACTGCATACGATGCTTTTAGTAGTGGCCGTCGGGAGTAAGGAGTGTGCGGTGCCGCCCAAGTCTGCCCAAGTGCGGCTCTGCACCGCTCAGCGCGCGTCGGTTACTCCCGCGACAACCGTGTTGACCACGACCGTGACCATGGCTGTGAAACCCGCTATCTCCCTCTTTCTCTGCCAGCTATGTCCTCGTCGTTTCGCTCGAAAAGTGATTGAAGTCTGGGTCCTAGCTAGAAGAGGCCTGTAACATGAGTAGCGGCGACTTCGAGGTCCGGTGGCCAAACTTCCAGCTCTCCCGCCGCGTCTCCAAACTGTTTCGCTCGTTCACGGGTAGCGGCAATGCTCCAACTGCGGACTACAGCTACTATGAACTGAGCAACCTTGACGAAGCGTCCGAGGTCCCTACAGATGCGGAGCGGGAGACATTGAGGAGGATCGCTGATGCTGTCCCGTGGAACGCGTTCCGTGAGTCCCGCTCAAGCCTCGCTCGTTGGTTATTGTGTATCGTGGACGATACTGACAGTTATGTGGTCAAGTCATTGCTTTCGTGGAACTCGCAGAGCGGTTCTCCTACTATGGAACCACTGTTGTCTTTGTGAGTTCTTCTCCAGAATGCCGTGCTTTGGGGACGTGTAGCAGCGAAGGTTGTCGGACGGTACTCAGTAGTCTCCATCGCTGACCAAAAAAAATACACTCGGTGGTCGGTGATCCAGACATTGTGCCGCTTAACGTGGGCCATTGTAGCCAACGTAGCGGCTGCCCGGCTCAGCCTCAGCCTGGTCGTCGATGTCCGCTGCGTCCGGCGTGGTCCCATACAAAACCAGCTGGACTCCGCCTATGTTTTTGAAAGTAGCGGGGCTTGACAATATGGACCCAGCTGGGATTGCGAGAGATAATCGACCTGGAGTCACTCTTGCAGCTGATATCATATTGCTAGACCCCTTCCCGGGAACGCATGCACAGGCGGAGGTCGTCGAGCCCTTGTCTGACCTTCGCGTCGATCCGCACCCTGACCTCGGCCACAAACCTCTGTCTAGCTCGCCATCGACATTTGTCGATATGGTAAAATCTTGATGGGCACACCACAGTGATACCAATATCGACACGCTCCGCCTGTGCGCGCATTTACGCTCGGGGTCTAGCAATGGAATCAGCTGTCACTCTTACGTTGGGTATTGTGTGCACGAGAATAACGTGTTTCGACCGTGTTTTGAACAGAAGCCCTCGTGCAATGCGTCCTCTTGGACGATTATTGTGCTCAGACAAGCAGCGCCGAGTGTTTTGATTGCACGAGTCCCGTCGTGTGGAAGCGCAGTCCTACGAGTTTCCGGGCGCCGAAAATGATAGACAATAGCGTTACGAAGACTGCCTTGCCTGCTACGCCGTCTTTACTGCTTGATCTCAAATGAATGCACCCAGACTCACTGGAAAGTCTAGACCAACTTCATCCAGCAGCCCCTCCCTCCCGGATCTCGCACAGGTGCCGGATATGCCAATGGTCAATCAGGGGCTCTCGGTCTCGGCCAGCGTGCCTCTACGGCGATCGGCATGCTGAACTCATTCTGGTGAGTATACATTCACAGCTCCTGCACTTCGTGGATCTCACCGTTCCACCAGGGTCTACTTCATGCCTCTACTTGGCGCATACATAGCGGATACACGCTGGGGCAGATTCAAGACGATCTGTGTCGCCGTAGGCATCGCGCTCGTTGGCCATGCTATCCTTGTAGTCGCGGCACTCCCGGGAGTGATCGAACACCCGAGACTAGCTCTGACATATTTCATCGTCGCCCTCGTGGTCATGGGTGTCGGAACAGGTGGCTTCAAGTCAAACATCTCGCCGTTGGTAGCGGAACAGTACAAACAGACGAAGCTAACCATCACCACCACTGCGAGCGGCGAGCGAGTGATCTTAGACCCTGCAATGACGACGGCTAGAATATACATGGTGGATTCTCATAGAACTTGGTTGCTAGCCTCGTCGCTAACCCGCCATACAGTACTTCTATCTATTTATCAATATTGGAGCTCTATTCGGACAAATTGTTATGACCTACTCGGAAAAGGTGAGAGGCGACGAATATTACGAGCTGTACTCAACTAGCCGGTTTCTTTAGTACGTTGGCTTCTGGCTCGCCTTCGTCCTACCCACGCTCGTTTTCCTCCTTTGTCCCCTCGTTCTCTTCATCGGCAGGAATAGCTACGTACGGTCACCTCCATCTGGGTCGATCCTCGGCACTGTCTTTCACATGTTCCGCTTCTGCATGCGCGGCAAGTGGTCTCTCAACCCTCTTGCGACCTATCGGCATATGTCTGTGCACGACTTCTGGGACCGTGCAAGGCCGGGGAGTTGCCCTCCTGGAGCGAAGCGACCGGAATGGATGAACTATGAGGATGGGTGGGTAGATGAGGTTATCAGGGGCGTGCAGGCGTGCAAGGTCTTCCTGTGGTACCCGGTATTCTGTGCGACTATCTCTCTCTTGTCTCCCTGGCGGTCACGCTGAAAGCCTTCCTCCGTCCAGACTTGTCGCTGAACCAACTAAACAACAACCTCATATCCCAGGCCGCGACGATGGAGACCCACGGAGTGCCCAACGACATCCTCTCGAACCTCGACCCGCTCTCGCTGATCATCCTCATCCCCATCTTCGACGTCGCCGTCTACCCCTTCCTCCGCCGGCGGCGCGTGCGTCTCACGCCGCTCCGCAAGATCACCGCGGGCTTCTTCGTCGCGTCGCTGGGCATGACCTACACCGCGCTCGTGCAGCACCGCATCTACACGACGAACCCCTGCGGGTACTTCGTCGCGACGTGCGCGGACGAGGCCGGCACGCGGGTGACGAGCAGCGTGAACGTGTGGGTGCAGACGGGGAGCTACGTGCTCATCAGCGTGAGCGAGGTGCTCGCGAGCGTGACGGGCCTCGAGTACGCGTACACGAAGGCGCCGAAGGACATGCGGAGCCTGGTGATGGCGGTGTTTCTGTTCATGAGCGCCGTTGCGAGTGCGGTGGGCGAGGCCTTCGTCGGTGCGTGGGTCGTCTCTTCAGGATTCCGCTACGCGAAGGCTGACTACCGAGGGTTGGCAGCGCTCTCGGCGGACCCGCTCCTGGAGTGGAACTACATAATACTGAGCGCGCTTTCGGCTCTGGCTGGGATACTGTTCTGGCGACAGTTCCGGGACCTTGATGCTCGTGAAGACGAGCTGAACAGTCTCGGGGAGGACGTAACGCCTCCTGCTCTTGTCGCTGAGGATTGACGACTGTACATTCAGCTTCTAGATACATTTCTTGGTGCAACGACTACAAAAGATCCCTGGAATATGGTCTCTGTGTACTGGTCAGAACGGTTTCCTGCGTTCAGCGCGCGCTCGCTGGAAATGGATGTCACTAAGCGCTCGACTTTGTGGCCTTCGATAGCTCATCTGGAAGAGCGTGAGACTGTAATCGGATACCGCTATCTCAAGGTCGCTGGTTCGACCCCGGCTCGAAGGATGGCTTCTCTCTTGCTTTTTATCCTCTTATCCTCGAGCGACCATGTCAGTGAGTGAACAGTGAGCCTTTCTGTGTAGTCCGGGTTGACGTGGACGTTTGAGACAGAAATGACGGTGCCATGTCGCGTGGATGTTCTCCCTCACTCGCTATGTCTGAGATCTAACCCTACTATCCCAATCCAGCCGCCGCAGATCCCCCCCGTTGCAGCTGAGTGCGTCGCTCTTCATTTGTCCGGAGGGTCTGCAGTGAGTATGTTGACGGCAGTTAGGGGCCGAGATTCGTGCACTCATGTTACTTCGCCGAGCATATGCAGAGACGCAGTATGCAGTGTGCACTGCGTTCGATACTCCCATCCGTGCCATGTGATTAACTAGAACACTGTTGACTGAGTACAGTAGCTATGCCCGTCACAGTGGTTTCTGGGGCTTCACAAGATGGTGCTCATGATGTCTGGGAACCACGCGCATCGCGGAAAGCACAGTTCGGACATGAATGCCCGCAGTGCGTCGTTCAGTTCCTTCAATGCTTGGATTTGAACCTCTTGTTGAATGAACGTCGGCGTCGGGCGGGAACGAGCGAGTGAGGGCGCGCGAGAGGCGGGGTATGACAATAAAACGGGTGCGGTTTGTCTCGTCCTCGGGATGGGGAGGCAAACACGCGAGGTAAATACATGCGAACGTCGAGCTAATAAAGTGAATCCTTATCTAAGTAAGGTACGAATCGGGTGCAATCATATCGCGCCGCAGCGCGGCGCGTCAGCGAGCCGGAAATCGGGTATGCGCTCGCCCGGTTGTTCCAACACCTCTAATGTTCATGTACAACAGAGACTGATGTGCGAAATTTCGTGCGATGGACGCCCTGGGCGCCGCATTCATTCGAGTCCTTGGGCGCGATCTGAACTGCATCGACCTCGGATATACAAGCTCTGCGCAGTGAAGGATCTTCAACGATGCAGCTCTTCGTGAGTATGCAGTGAAACTGGCAAGGTTATCCTCAAGTTGCCATCGGCGTTGTGTTCTCGGTCCAGATATTGTGATCCCATGGTAAACCACACAACTCGCTGTAACTGTGTTTTGCGCACGCGGCCTGGCGATCTCCCTAAAACCTCTGTGCTATGAGCTGATGAACAACTATTATATGATGATGATCCTCACCACGCATTAGGCACTGCATGCTAAGTACTCATGGCTGCTTGAGACGAAGATGAGGGAGGCGTGGGCACAGCAGTCTGTGCACTGACATCAATGGGAAGACGTGCAGGGCCCTGGTGCGATGAGAAGAGTACATGGATTCAGGGTGCTGTATCATTGTGGGGATACTTACAGTGGATCGTCTGGACTCTGCAGTGCACGACTGCATGTGAAGAATGATCTGCAAATGTAATTGGGGTCAAGGTAAATATTAATGTCAGCTTTGCGTCTGCACACAATGTATCCTTTCAGTAACATGCATAGGTATCCACCGAGGTCCTGCACAACACAGGAGCCCAGCTAGTGTTTGCGACACTATAACATGTCTGTGGCTGCCACCACGGTGCCACCATCAGAGAGAACAACTCGGAGCGAAGTACTAGTAAGTACTGGCACTGATTAGTGTGAGCACCCACAACGTGTCTTGTGCAGCCCTCTCCGGCATATACATACATCACTTATCGCTGAGTAGCGTCCGCGCGCGATACATGATTCGCGCTCTGTGACCGCGGTTCCATCATGTATGAATGCTCCGGCGTCCGTCATGTATTATACAATGCATTAGTACATTACAATATCCTGGCGGCGCCCTGCCCGGATTCGGGATCCCGCCCCCCTCCCGCCGACGCTGCGTGTGCACGTTGCTACTCGACGTACACGCACACCTAGCTCTGCCTTGCCCTTATTGGGAACCCCCCTACGCCCAATCCGGCGATGCCCCGCTCTCACCCGCCGGCCCCTGCACGCGGCGGCGCCGCGCTCGTCGGGATCCCACCCATTCGCCCACTTGTCTGTACACCAGCTCGCCCGCCCGCCTGCTTGCCCGCCCGTCCCCCTGCTTGCCTACCACCTTGCCCGCGCTCCTGCTTACCAATGGACCCGCATCCACCTTTGCCCGTGCGGAACCCGTACCCCCAATGACAGGTTTGTAGTAGGGTCGACTCGGAGCTCGGGATACCGTTGTTGGTTATACGCGTGCTCGGCCGAGCGAACATGCCACCTCTGTGACGTGATCACTTCGCGCACAGTAGTTGCCAGTGTTGCGGTCAGAGGGTATACAGTGGTGTAGTACATGCGAGGATGCCAGCATGCCAATGCCACCACCCGGGGCCCGTGGCTACGTCCCTCGCTGAACTGTTATGTTTTTGCATGAGAAGATGACTCACCTGGAGCAATTGGCCGGGATCCGTAGTGAGTGCGTGGTGTAAGGTAACTAGTAGTAGGACACTAGTAGTAGGACGGCGAGCGGGTGCAACTTGAACTTGACGCCACGCCGCCGTGACTTATAACGCGCAGCGACTCGTCGGGCTCCTGCCAAATATGGGCACTGTACTGCCTAAGATGGAATGGAGCAGTCTGGGATATAATCTGCATCGCTCAAGCACCGCGCTCAGGCGCAACCTGTAACGGTGTGTCTATACATAAAGACCCTGTGAGTAGTAATAAGAAAAAAGTCTTTGCATTGCGATGTTCCCAATTCAGACATCGCTTCCGGACAATCAACCACTAGACATAAGCCTTCATGCATCATGTTTCGAGCGACTCAGGAGTATCAATGACAAACGGTAGATATAATATACATAGTCAATATCTATGCTGTTGACGATTACAGTACAATTCATGCCACCACTCTGTACAGCCGTCGTGACTCGAGGCCCGGAGAGCAGTACACTAGCATAAGTACTAGTAGCAGTAGACATCCTTACTGTACACGAGAATGTGCATTGCTATCACATCCCATCTGTTTTGAAATTGACTATACAAGACTCACCATGCATCTAATCCCTATGAATGCATAAAGACATGAATAACCAGTGCGAAGACGGTCTGAACGCGAGTTGCGGGTATGTTGTGGATTCAGGTGGACCTGTATTCGCGATGTGATTGGCCGAGAAACAGCCCGAGAACATCGGGCTATCCCGATTTGGCGTGGCAGCAAATAGACACAAATGTTGGGTTTGCCAGGCGCCCACGAGGTTCGCCTCATTCGTCGTGCTCCACTGTAACCGCTATCGACTAACGACACACGCACGTCAACCACGAGCGTGCTGGGCGAATGCCCAGCACGCAGACACGGCCCACGAGCGGGTACGAGCGAACGAAAAGACGAGAGCGCGCGGGCGTGTGGACTACCGGACGCGCGAGCGAGAGGACGAGCGGGAGAGCTGGGAGGTCAGCATACGGGCGGGTGAGCGGGAGAAGGATGCGCATGAACAAAGGACGGGCGGGCGAAGGTGAGTGGAGGCCGCGTGAGCCTCGGAGCGAGCGAGCTGACCGTATGCACAGCACACGCGTCAACAAGCACAGTCGACACATGCGCCGACCACGAGCACGCCGGGCGAATGCCCTGCGTGAAAACGCAGCCGACGGGTGGATCGCGGGCACGTACACGGACGAGGGGGAAAATGGAAGGTGAGACAGGCGGACAGGATAGGTCTGAGGGTCGGTGGGCAGGAAATCCAGCGGGCATACGGGCACGGCAACCGGGAGCACGCAGACACGGTCACCGAACGTGCGCGCGGCTGCTGAACGTACGTAAATACCGGGCCCAGCGCGCGGACGCGGCTAATCAGCGCGTTCGTCGGCGGGCGGGCAAGCAGGCGAACGAGCGCGCGGGAATACGGGCGGCCTCGCAGGCCTTGCCGAAAGCGAGCGGCATAGTGGGCGAACGAGTGGGCAAGCGGTGCCCACCCGGGGGAGGAGCCGTACAATTCACTGGGCCGCCGCGGGTGAGCAGGTGGTTTGGCAGGTGAACGGGCGGGCAGGTGAACGGGCGGGCAGGTGAACGGGCGGGCAGGTGAACGGGCGAACGGGTAGGCGGGCGAGCGGGTAGGCGGTCCAATGGGTAGGTGGTCCAATGGGTAGGTGAGGAGTTCGGGCAAGACAGAGCGGGAATGGGTGGCCGGGCAGGCGAACGCAGGGGCAGGCGGACGGATGCGTGGGCGGGCGGACGAACAGGCGGGCGGGCGGGCCGACGGGTGGGACCGTATGATGGGTGGGAGAGGACGAACAGGATGCGTAGATCACAGGCTGTATATAGCTGTTAGTATGGTTGCACATCGAGCAATGGATACACAATGCCCAGCCACCACCGTGATACACCACTGCATAAGAGCCACAACAATTGATATATCATGCACGCGATACGGTAAGTAAAGGGACCACACCGAGAACGGCTATTGCTGCTTTCGGAAGGAACTTCTAATGTATTGCGGGCGCAGACGGGTGATGTATGTAGACACATGGCTAGCAAGCGGGATTTATGTATCATGTCTGTACTCTAGTTAGCGATAGGTCATGTATCACACTGCCACACACAGGTGGTCTTGTGTCACAGTTGTGTGCGTACTCCAGTGCTGGAATTGTGTGTACATTCTCGGGACTCGTGTCGTTGGCGATGGTCCAGGCACAATGCGCGCAGTGAGCGTAGTACGCGACCTGGGCCTGCGCGTGACCACATCCGTGGGACACGTTGAGCACCTGCTCCCAGTCCTCCCACTGGCAGCACCCATGGCCCATGCCCATGCCATGTGTGGCCTCCTGCGGCTTCACTGGACTCTTCCGCATATCTACCTCCATCCCCATCACTCGCAATGCGCTTCAAGTCCCTGGTCCACATGTGTTTTTTCTGTCTGCCCATACGACTGCCGTGGATGTCTTCCCCGAGCAATCCCAAACCACTACACCTTCTACTAGATCCTCTGGGGAACCC